CTTTGGGGGTGCACGGTGGGGTTTTTTATGGGGGTGGGGTTATGGTGGGGGCACTGTGGGTGCACGGTGGGGTGGTTTTTTGGTGGTGGTGCTACTGGGGTGGTGTTTTTTGTGGGGGGTTGCTGGTGGGGTGTACTGGGGGTGGGTTTTTGGTGGGTGTTGCTGTGGGGGTGTTTCGGTGGTGGTGTTACTGTGGTGGTGGTACTGTGGGGTGCTTTGGGGTGCTGTGTGGTGTGGTTTTCTGTGGGGTGTTACGGTGGTGGGTTACTGGTGGGTGGTGTTAGGTGTTGGGGTTTACTGGGTTGTGTTAGGTGGGGGGCTAGTGGTGGCTTTTTTGGTGGGGGGTGTTATGGGGATGGTGTTTTCTGGTGGTTTTTGCTACGCGTGGTGCACTGCTGGGGGTTTTACTGGGGGGGTGCTTTCTCGGTGGTGCACTGGGGGGTGTGTTACTGGGGTGGTGCTACTGGTGGTGGGCTACTGGGGGTGATCTACTGGTGGGGGTTGTTACTGGTGTGGTGTTTTCTGGGGTGGTGCTACGGGGTTTGGTGCACGGGATATGTTACTGTAGTGGTGCTAATGGTGTGGTTTTCTGGTGGTGGTGTGAGTGGGGGCTATGGGGGGTGGGGCTGCGCTGGTGGTTTTTACTGGTGGGGGTGCTACTGGTGGGGGGTGTTATGTGGGGGTGTTATGGTGGTGGGGCTACTGGGTGGGGCTACTGCTGGTGGTGCTCTGTGGTGGGGACTGGGGTGGTGCTACTGCTGGTGGGTTTCTACGGTGTGGGTTTCTGGTGTGGTGTATGGTGGGTGCTACTGGTATGTTTCTAAATGGGGGTGGTGTTACTGGTGGTGGTGTTTCGGTGGGGTGCTCTGGTGGGGGGGTTTCTACGGAGTAGTGTTTCGGGGGGGTGTATGGTGGTGGGGTTACTGGTGTGGTGCTGATGCTGGGGGTGCTACTGGGGGTGGCTGCTGCTGGGGGGGTTCTGGGGGTGGTGCTAATGGTGGTGGGTTTTCGTGGGGTGTTACTGGTGGGGGTGTTAAGGTGGGGTGTTACTGGGGGGGTGTTATGGGGGTGGGGTTTCGGTGTGGGCTACTGCTGGTGGTGTTTCTGCTGGTGGTTTTTACTGTGGTGTTTTCGGTAGGGTGCACTGGGTGGGCTTTCGGTGGTGGTGTACGGTGGTGGTGCACTGCGGTGGTTTATGGTGGTGGTGTTACTGGTGGTTGGGGTTATGGGGGTGGTGCTACTGGTGGGGGTGCTACGGGGGGTGTTACCGGTGGGGTGCTATGGTGGTGGTGCTATGGTGATGAGCTACTGTGGGTGGTGTTAATGGTGGGGGTGTTTCGGTTTTGGGGCACTAGGGTGGTGCTACGGTGGTGGTGTTTTCTGGTGGTGGGGAAATGGTGGTGGTTGTTACTGGGGGGGGTCTGAGCTGGAGGGGCTACTGGGTGGTGTGCTGTGGTGGTGTTACTGGGGTGGGGCTACTGGGGGGGTGCTACGTTGGGGGTGCACTGGTGTGGTGTTTTGGTGGGGTATGGGGGGTCTACTTTGGGGGGGTGCTACTGGGGGTGGGCTACGCTGGTGGGGTTACGGGGGTGGTGCTACTGGTGGTATGCTACTGGGGGGGGTGCTACTGTGGGGGTCTACTGGTGTTGGTGTTATGGGGTGGTGCTACTGGTGGGGGTCTATGGGGGTGGGCTACTGGGGGGGTGCACTGATGGGGGGTATTCTGGTGGGGGGCTTTTTGGTTTTTAAATGATGGGGGTGGCTGGCCCCGGGGGTGTTATGGGGGTGGGCTAGGTGGTGGGGTTCTGAGTGGCCACTGCTGGTAGGCTAGTGGGGGTTTACTGGTAGTTTTGGGGCTACTGTGGGGTTTTGCTCTGAGGTGGGGGTTTACTGCTGGTTTGTCATGCTGGTGGTGTTTTGCTGGTGGTGATACTGTGGTGGGTGCTGCCTGCTGGGCACTGCGGGTGGTGTTTTCTGGCGGGGGGCTACTGGGGGGGGTGGCTACTGCTGGTCGTGGTGGGGCTGTTGCTGCGATGGTGCACTGGTGGTGCTACGCTGGTGGGCTACTACTGGTGGTGCACTGCGTGCTACTGCGGTGGGCTAAATGTGGGGGTGCTCCTGGTGGTGGGTACTGTGGTAGTGCCACTGCTGGTGGGGCTACGCTGGTGAAGCTAATGCTGGGGTGCACTGCATGAGTTTGTTAGGGGGTGGAACAATCGGGAGTGATGCAGTGGGGGGCGCATCAATACATAGCTTTAAGAAAGTATCAAGGCTTTTGACAGGGGGAGGCGGGACCCAGTAGCGACCAGTGAAGAGGCGGTGCCAGGGAAATTTGACTACCCCCCACAAGGGCAAACAAGTGAGTACAATTTGGTGGAAAAACACTCACACACACACACACAACACACCACACACACACACACAACACACAAACACACACACACACACACCACACCAAAAACACACCCCACACAACACACACACACACCCCACAACACACACACCACACACACACACACACCACACACACACACACACCACACCCACTAGACTAAGAGGAATCTCCAAGCAGCAAATTGAAAGGCGGGGCAGGGGCTAAAAACCAACTCCTCACCACATTTTAAAATTTGTACATAAGTGAGTCACACAATGAAACAAAGACTTGATAAAAAATCAAATTAATAACTTCCCGGGTTAAGCCGCGTGCCCTGCCTTTAAAGGGGTACCTAAGCTGCGTACCTAACTTAATATTCCTCCTCCCTGTGGGAAAAACCAATTTTTACGAGAAAAATTTCTTTTTAAAATTTTTAAAGAAACGTCAGGTAAACTATTCAAACATAAGGGTTGGAAGGGGGGAAAGGAAAAAGGGGGAGAGGTTACTCTTGTTTTTTGAATTTTTTCCAATCCAATATAATATTAAAAATAATATATATAAATATATATATTATATATTATATATATTATTTTATATAAAAATATAATTATATATATATATATTATATATAATATATATAAAATATATTTAAAATATAATATATATAAACCTGATCTTGGCTGGGGAAGGAGACTCGAACCTACGAACCTTGGAAAAAAAGGTGCGCGTGCTATACCCAAACTACCCACATGGACAATACCTTTGGGGTCCGTTCGACCGTTTATCCAAGGCAGCCCCTTTCATAGGAAGGCTTAAGCTTTTTATTCATCCCCTCATGACAGCCTTACTAGAATTTTTTAAAAAATGAAGGGAAATTTGCAAGGCAGCGAAAAAAACACAAACCTGATCTCTGGGGAAGGGGCCGGCTGCCTTTGGATCAACTGAGCGCAAGCTGCACGCCAATGTATTGTCCATGTGGGAGATTGGTAAGCACGCGTACCTTTTTCCAAGGTTCGTAGTTCGATCCCCTTCAGCCAAATCGGTTTTTATTATAATATATAATATAAATAATATATAATTTTTATATCTAAATATATATTTATAATATATATTATAATAATATATTTAAAATATAATTATATATATTAATATATATATATATTAATTATTTTTAATATTCTTTAGGGTTTTTTAAAAAATTTTTATTTGAATGAAAAAAAGGATTAAATATTTATATATGGAGGTTAAAAACACAATCACCAGGGTAAAATTGTGGAATTGCATCTCTTTTCGTGAACTGATTCCCTTTACTTTTCCCCAAGGGATTTTGTCCCCTCTGATCCTGTTAGTGTTCTTGTTTCTCCCGCAATTTTCCATTTACGAAGTTACATTGTTTTCTTTTGCGTTTGTGTTTATTTATGTACGTGTTCCATCTCCCTATTTCCATTCTCATTCGTGTTTTAATTATAATTCTTATTCCTTCGGCGTCCAAGAAATAAATAATTAAAAAGATAATTACTATAAAAGGAATAATTATAATTATTATAAAACAATAATAATCATAATTATAATGAAAATAATGGTAATAATAATATAATTATGTTATTATTCGCTGTATTACCCCAGTAGGTTTACCGCTGGCTTTTGATTATAATTATTATTACTATTATTAATCTTGATTTTATTATTATTATTATTATTATTATTATTATTATTATTATTATTCATCATACTATTATCATTACTATTATTATTATTAGTAGTAGTAGTAGTAGTAGTATTATTATTGTTATTATTATTAGTAGTAGTATTATTATTGTTATTATTATTATGATTATTATTATTATTATTATTATTACTATTATTATTATTACTGTTATCATTATTATTATTATTATTATTATTATTATTATTATTATTAATATTATTATTATTATTATTATTATTATTATCATTACTATTATCATTACTATTACTATTATTATTATTATTATTATTATTATTATTATTATTATTATTATTATTATTATTATTATTATTATTATTATTATTATTATTATTATTATTATTATTATTATTATTATTATTATTATTATATTATTATTATTATTATCATTATTATTATTACTATTATCATTACTATTATTATTATTATTATTATCAATTTATTATTATTATCATTATTATTATTATTATTATTATTATTATTATTATTATTATTATTATTACTTAATTATTATTATTACTATTATCATTACTATTATTATTATTATTATTATTATTATTATTATTATTATTACTATTATTATTATTATCATCATTTATTATTATTATTATTACTATTATTATTATTACTATTATCATTACTATTATTATTATTATTATTATTATTATTATTATTATTATTATTATTATTACTATTATTATTATTACTATTATCATTACTATTATTATTATTATTATCATTATTATTATTATTATTATTACTATTATTATTATTATTACTATTATCATTACTATTATTATTATCATTATTATCATTATTATTATTGTTATTATTACAACCGTGAAGAACAATGGTGTTGTTCAGAAGGTGGTGACACAGGTGTTTGTGTGTACTCCACAGGTCCTCCTGAGGAAGTCAACAACTGCACGGTGCTTAATGTTACATCTCACTCAGCAAGTGTAATCTGTATGCCAGGTTTCGACGGAGGTCTTCCTCAGAGGTTTCTTCTACAGGTAAGCCCCACCTGTGGGGGGTCTTTTTGGTTTTCTGGGCGTGTGTTTTAATTCCACTGGTGTCGAAATTGCGATACCCTACCCCTTTTTGGGCAGAGTAATACAGGGTGTTTCAATATAATGACCCAATTTTACCTGCACGAAGATCTCAAATCGGGTCCATCTTTTCGAAACACCCTGTAATGTTATTCTCTCTCTCTCTCTCTCTCTCTCTCTCTCTCTCTCTCTCTCTCTCTCTCTCTCTCCTCTCTCTCTTCTCTCTCTCATACCACGTAGTTTCACTTCATATTTCTTCACATTTTACAAGTGTAAGTTCCTGGTGTCGGGAAACAGAGGATATAAAAATGATATTTACGATATAATGCATTCATAATATCCTGTGTGTGTGTGTGTGTGTGTGTGTGTGTGTGTGTGTGTGTGTGTGTGTGTGTGTGTGTGTGTGTGTGTGTGTGTGTGTGTGTGTGTGTAATAACACATAATTTACGCTGAAAATGATATTGTAAGAAAATATGAGAACTTAATTAATATCTTGAAAATATTCATAAAAATAGTAACTTATGTATAATTAAAAACAGGTTATCGATATTAATGAAAAGAGTTGGAGGACGGAAAATACTCTGGAAGATCAGAGTGAATGTGCACTCTTAACCGAGAAAGAAGGATCGGTAAGCCAGTGGAAGGCCTTGGTCAGATGACCAAAAGCTCCAAAAGCTCATCATATAACAAAGTCCCGTTTCAGGAAACACTTGTCCTGGTTCCTGACGAATCTTACCTAACCTAGTCTACATAATGTTGGTCTGCTCTATGCTCGAGAGGGTCTGGCTGGTTCAGTCACCCTGCAAAGGAGGTATGTGTCTCAGCCAACCCACTGTCACTCTGAAACATCAGAATGCCTCAGCACCTTAGCTAAACAGATCAATCTAGAGTGATTGACTCACTGCTAGATGGCTCCGGCTAGACGCTTTCAACTGGTTGAGATTGATACTGTAATTTATAGGCCTGACTTACGATTTTTTTCACATTTTCACATCCATATGACAACACAAACCTCGTCAGTGCTATGAAGAACCTAAGGTTTAATTAGCTTTAAACCCAGGAACAAAAGAGCGCCTCCATTTCCTCGCATCAAAAGCCCATCAAAGTATCCACGCACTTCCAACCGAAGGGAAAAAAACCCAGGAAATAGCAATTAAAACGTAAACAACAGTATAGTTGAGAAACTTGTTATTGAAGTCCTGCGTATTCAATCTTTTTCCCAGCTACTACCATAGTCAGAGAAACTATACAGGAGAGCTTTAAACTGAAGAGAGCTTTAAACTGAGGAGAGCTTTAAACTGAGCAGAGCTTTAAACTCAGGAGAGCTTCAAACTGAGGAGAGCTTTAAACTGAGGAGAGCTTTAAACTCAGGAGAGCTTTAAACTCAGGAGAGCTTTAAACTCAGGAGAGCTTTAAACTCAGGAGAGCTTTAAACTGAGGAGAGCTTTAAACTCAGGAGAGCTTTAAACTGAGAAGAGCTTTAAACTGAGGAGAGCTTTAAACTCAGGAGAGCTTTAAACTCAGGAGAGCTTTAAACTGAGGAGAGCTTTAAACTCAGGAGAGCTTCAAACTGAGGAGAGCTTTAAACTGAGGAGAGCTTTAAACTCAGGAGAGCTTTAAACTGAGGAGAGCTTTAAACTGAGGAGAGCTTTAAACTGAGGAGAGCTTTAAACTCAGGAGAGCTTTAAACTGAGGAGAGCTTTAAACTCAGGAGAGCTTTAAACTCAGGAGAGCTTTAAACTGAGGAGAGCTTTAAACTGAGCAGAGCTTTAAACTGAGGAGAGCTTTAAACTGAGGAGAGCTTTAAACTGAGGAGAGCTTTAAACTCAGGAGAGCTTTAAACTGAGGAGAGCTTTAAACTCAGGAGAGCTTTAAACTGAGGAGAGCTTTAAACTGAGGAGAGCTTTAAACTGAGGAGAGCTTTAAACTGAGGAGAGCTTTAAACTGAGGAGAGCTTTAAACTCAGGAGAGCTTTAAACTGAGGAGAGCTTTAAACTCGGGAGAGCTTTAAACTGAGGAGAGCTTTAAACTGAGCAGAGCTTTAAACTGAGGAGAGCTTTAAACTGAGGAGAGCTTTAAACTGAGGAGAGCTTTAAACTCAGGAGAGCTTTAAACTGAGGAGAGCTTTAAACTGAGGAGAGCTTTAAAACTGAGGAGAGCTTTAAACTGAGGGAGACTTTAAACTGAGGAGAGCTTTAAACTGAGGAGAGCTTTAAACTGAGGAGAGCTTTAAACTGAGGAGAACTTTAAACTGAGGAGAACTTTAAACTGAGGAGAGCTTTGAACTGAGGAGAACTTTAAACTGAGGAGAACTTTAAACTGAGGAGAGCTTTAAACTGAGGAGAACTTTAAACTGAGGAGAGCTTTAAACTGAGGAGAGCTTTAAACTGAGGAGAACTTTAAACTGAGGAGAACTTTAAACTGAGGAGAGCTTTAAACTGAGGAGAGCTTTAAACTGAGGAGA